TATCTCCAAAAACTCTTTTAAAAAGTCAAAATTACAACAAATTGTGTTCAATATGAAACACTGTTTATTAAGTAAAAGACTCATCTTCAAATAACACTGCTTAAGTAAAAGAAAAGGCAGTGTGGCATGAGGGGAGAGGGAGAGAATAAGTGTTACACACAGCGGCTACTATGGGCCAGGCATTGTAAAGAACTTTACAAATATTATCTCATTTGATTCTGCTAGGTAGGTGCTACTACATAGTGGACAAAGTGACACAGACTTGGTCAAGAAGACCTGGGTTCAAATCCTAAGCAAGACATTTAACTTCTCTGTGCCTAAAAATCTCTCTAAGACCATGAAGTCAGAGTTGGTTTGCAGTCTTTTCTGCTGGGTAAAGTCCCTAAAAGTCCCTAAATGTATAAGTCCTCAAGTTCAGTTCTCTGTTTTCCTACTAATATTTTCTTTTTATTTGTATAATAAGACACAAGAGTAGATATAAAAATTCACAGTTGTTTTTGAAACTGTTTAACAGGTTATTTAACAGGGTATTACTAAGACTTCTGGAAAATTTAGCTTCCTAGAAAAATGTATAATGATTAACATCTGCTTGTTGACACTACTCAGTAGAATATAGACTGACCAAATGCATATCTTTTCAAATGTATCTATACCACTTAAAAAGGTTTAGATTCTGATGATTTTTACACTGTCAAATTCTTTGCTTCCATTAATATGTAATTTAAAAACCTGAAGAAAACCACTACCAGAAGAGGTCACTATACACAAAAATATTCTCTTCCTAATTTTCCTTTGTATTTACAGTTGCACCTAAATTTCATTATGAATATTTACAGGCTACACCTCTTCATTTCATCTAACTTCTTAATACTAAAAACCTGGTTTAAAACTATTGTCCTTTTTAACTCTGAAGGAAAATTAGTTATCTCAAAGAATGATCTTAGATTCTCCCAAGGCCCCTACCACTCCATTGTGAACAATAGATATGCAAGGAAAAATCTTTCAATTCTAAAGAATTTGGTTCTGAGGAGTCACTGGGAATATTTCTATGGCAGAATCACTAGAATAACAAACCCTTTAGTTGTGCCATCCCTTGTTTCAGTCTATATCTTCAAAACAAGCAAATATTAAGTACCTAATATGTGTGAGGCACTGTTAGGTTATTACAAGAGTCTGTTCATTCAAATGAAGGGAAAAAATAATCACCTTATTTTTGCTTTTTGTTTTTTTTGGCTAGGCAATGGGGTTAAGTGACTTGACCAGGGAAAAAATATTCAAAACAAGTGGTCAAAAGAAAACTTATAAGGAAGCAGATAAAAGATGGACAGCTCTTGACACGTGTAGTATTTATCATATATGTTTTCTTGAAATGAAAATTTATCGTTACATATTTTGAATCCTCTCCTATGTTCTGTTATGCACATGACATGCTTTTTTTTCCTTTTTTTACTTTGTAATTAAGTATCAATATTTAAGTTTAATGATTTTTTTTCTTTTTCTTTTCTCTATTTTATATTTGTGTTCTGGTGTTTGAGTCTAAAATACAATTCAATTAAAAAAAACAAAACAAATAGAGATTCTTTCATTGTCCACCCAATCTGGTTTTCCTCATCTGATAAAATAAATTTAACATAAGGGTTATGGAAGTATACTGAAGATAACTTTTATCATTTTAAGATGTATAAGGTACTTTAGGGTCTTTCACTGCCTCAGTCATCACCACTCTGACCATTAGAGTTCTCAATGAAGAATGCCAGAGAATACAGCTTTTTAACAGAATACTACTTGGATTTTTTTTTAAAAAAAGTTCTAGTAGGGGCAGCTAGGTGGTGCAATGGATGAAGCACCAGGCTTGGAGTCAGGAAGTTGAGATCAATTTGAGTTCCAATCCAGTCTCTGACACTTACTAGCTGTGTGACCCTGGGCAAGTCACTTAAACTTGTTTGTCTCAGTTTACTGATAAGTAAAATAAGCTGGAGAAGGAAATTACAAACCATTCCAGTATCTTTGCCAAGAAAACCCCAAGTGGGGTCATGAAGAGTTGGACACAATGGGAACAACTGAACAAATCAGACTTTTCCCTTAGACAAATTTTCCTAATTATTTCCAATTACTGAGGTTTTTTAAAATCTAAAGGGGTAATTCCTATATCAAACATGTACAATAAATTCATCATCTTTAAGTAGTAACGGTATATTATGAAGAAACAGACATTCAAATGGAGAAATCATAAGGTGATCATGCAAACATTTTCCCCTCCAAATGGAGGCATGATATTTATTTCCTGAGAGTATAGTGCTATTATACTATTGGACAAGATTATTCCAAAAGTTTAATTATTGCCAAAATTTTAATTATTTGACTAAGAATACCAGCTGCCCCCCATACTCAAAGCACTCTTCAGAAAAATAACATGCTCAAAATTAAGTTCTCTGAAAAACCATGAAATTCTTCTACAATTCCCTGTTTATTGGCTATTCTTCTCAAGCTCAATCTAGTTTTCTCATGTCATGATATAGTTTAAACACAATTTTAAAAAATGAAAGACTCAGTCAACACCAGCAGATAATAAAAAACTTTGCTTTTTTCAATTAAGCACTGGGTCAAGGATAGGGAAAGCCTAAGATCTTTTTATTAAGAATCAAAGAAAAAGTCATATATAACAAAAAAGTCCAAGCACTACATAATGTAAATAGTGCAGAAATATTTACAAATTTTGGTGAGTACAAAGAATATGAAAAAACACGATTTTAATTTTTGACATAATGCAGAACCAATATTCTATTTATTCATCAAGTTTGTCCTATTCTTGAGTCTCATATTGACTACGAGTTTTCTCTTTAAGGTTAATAAAATCCTAGTTTAGTTCATCTGCCAGCCCTCATGGAGGATGGAATATCATGAATAGTTTTGTACCATAAAACAATGAAGGAAATGGAGGGTCCTGAAAACAAGATAAGAAGTCATTTATCCTGACTGTCAAGTCCCACGTTGGGACTCCATCACTTTAGTACCTGATTTAAGTAAGCAGAAATTGCACTTAAGGAGAAGTTTGGAAAAATCATCTCTGATCAAATCCTTACAGAAAAATTCTGTGCTGGAGGTGACACAATTTTAAAGTCTCTCAGAGAATGAATCTCAAGATATTGCAAAAAGTAAGATTCCCCAAAAATGGTTAAGATCACGTACTAAATAGCAAAAACAGATGACTGAAAAGACATTAGCAACTATAGACGCATTAGCTTACTTTCACATTTCTATAAACTTTTGTGATAATGCTCTATATATACATCAAAGATATGACTGAGGAAGAGATAAAAAGAGAAGAGATAGGTTTTCATAATTTTCTGCTACAATTTCCATAAAAAAATTGATAATGCAAGATTTTACCATTTTTGTTTGTTGATTATAAAAGTATTTGATAGAACAAGGCAAAATGCAAACTTAGGGATTCTCAATATCTCCCACACATGTTAATGCACACAAAATGCACTGATACATACTGTCATAGACAATGGATATGATGACAAAGAATTTTGTTTAAAGATCCTCTGAGTATAAACACAGAGTGAGATAAATGCTCTCAAAAATATTTATTATTGGGGCAGCTAGGTGGTGATAGAGCTCCAGCTGACAAAAAGCGAAAAAAAAAAAAATTTTTACCATTGTCATGAAGAGTATCTTGCTTTAAATGGTGAGTTTTCCAAGATCTTTTTTTCCAAATGGCATTATATTTATTGAACTGATACAATGAACACTACAGGATCTCCTTCATAAGACCTAGAGTCATTTAAAAGTATTTAGTCTAGCAATCCACAAAGCAAAAATGAAGTAAATGAACACTAACTGAATCAAGCAATGATTAGTGCCAAGTATGTGCCAAATCAGTGCCAAATATCTAGCCACTGTGCTAGATGTTGGGGATAGAAAGACAAAAATGAACCAGTGGTGCCTGTACCCAAGGAGCTAACGTTCTATCAAAAAAAAAAATAGTTCATACATGAAAAACTGTACACTGATTAAATATAAAATAAACAAAAGGCAATTCTGGCAGGGAGAGCACTAGGAATGGGGGGTGGGGAGAGGATCAGGAAAGGTATAAAGAGTGATGTTTGAACTGAGTCTTGAAGGAATTAAGGGGACACATATTGCTTTAATTATAAGGTAGGATGGATAGCCTATGCCTTCATCAATACCTATATCTGGACAGTTACTATAACTTGACAATGCCCTAAGCTAAGAATTGAATAGGAGATCAGGCTGATTCTCATTTGGGAACTAGGGAAAGCTTTAAATTTCCCCAAGCTATTTACTCCCTTTTGTGAGTAAATAAATAAATAAATCTATTCTTCGTAGCACTGTTACATAATTCCAATCATGGACCACTACACTCTTGGAGGACTCAAAATTGCAAGGGAAACAAAGGCAACAGAAAGACTGAATGGAAGGTAAAGTACATGTGAAATAGTAAAAAAAAAAATACTGAGGATCTATATGACTGGAACAATGTATCCTTATTTGGTCTCTGTCACCATTGTTGGTTTTTCAATTACCATATTTGGCTATTATTTATAGCACTGAAATTTATTTGTGTGTGTAGTGTCTTGATTCTGCTTATATTTTTTTAGAATGGTAACAGAACGGTAACTAACAGTAACTTAAACAAGCAGTAGTTTGGGAGTGAAGAGAGAGGGGGGTTCTGTTTCTGGTTCTGCTTCTAAATGCCTATATAGCCTTAGGGGAGTCACTTCACCCTCTGGACATGAATTTTCTCATTCATAAAAGGAAACAGGCCAGATGGTTGCACTAATGATCTCCGAGGGCCCTTCTGGCTTTGGATTTTGGTGAGAGAGAAAGAGAAAAAGAGAGAGAGAGAGAGAGAGAGAGAGTGAAAGAACAATTGTGTAGCTTTTGTTTTCATAAACTTCAGGTTTTACATTTTAAGAAAATTTAACAGATAAATGGCAACTTTCACATGAAGTTCTACATTTAGCACTCACCCTTAATGTATGATGTTCTTGTGCTAATAATGCTGTTATTTCATCTTGTAATGTTATAACTTCTAAAAACTGTCCCCATAGTGCCATTAGAAGTGAGCAAAGCTGTGCAAGATTCATATTTATGAGTTCTGCCAGTTCATCAGGATTTTCCATTTTCTGAAATTGGAGGGAAAAAAAAAACACTTTTCTAAGACCCATTAAATATATAAGCATAAATTCTTTATAAAATGCTAGGTACTCAAAATAAGAAAAAGGCTGAGAACAAGGTTTTTATATCTTGTTTTCATATAATACGGCAACTACTTTTGCTTTTTACTACTTGTTTCATTAATAAAATACTAATTCTAGTAGTTTTAAATATTATCTCAAGCAAAACTTTATTAAAGTTACATCATTTCAAATTATAACAACTCAACTGATGTAAAAAAATAACCTGAAAATCTTCTAAATGAGATTCCATAAAATATGGAACTCTAAAAATACAGTCAACAAAATGTGGAAAATTTTACACATAATACACTAATGTGATTAAACAAAATAAACAAAATTTGAGAGATATTGTTATAAATACAGACTTTAAAAAACAGTTATAGCTATACGAGATACTTAAATAAATGTTTATGATTTCATTGAAGGTACTGGGTTATTTTGTAAATTACTGTTTGAGGACTTACTCCTATGATTCTATAACTCTAAAATTTTGGTTTGCCTATAGTATTCTGGAATGGTCTGCATAAAGATGTGACAAGTCTCCTCAAGATCAAGGAAAGATTGTGATAACTACTTTTTACAGCTGTCAGGGAGGGGGTTTTCTGTTTAGACACAAGTTAGACTAGATTACTTCTAAAGTCTGCTCCAGTTCTTTGTGAGATTCCGTAATTTTTCTAAACTCTAATTATTCTAAACATTTATGCCTAATGGTGACAATAAATTATTCTACATATTTAAATATTCATGGAAACATCACAAAAGTTAAACTACTACTAACCTACTGTGAAAGGCAGAGTCCACTAAAAGAGGCAATCACTTAGCTGGTGAACTGCTAAATAAAATAAGAGTCTCTTAGAATAATAAAATAAATTTAGTTCCAAATATTCAATTTTTTTTCATGGAAGTAGTTTTATTCATAAGAGCAGGTATTTAAAAATAATTAGAGCACAAGTGGTCTGCACAGGTGAAAACTTTTTCTTTCTATTCCTTTCCATTACCTTACAAAAGGCTGTTGGTAGCTTCAGTCTCCTGAATATCAGCACTGCAGGAGACCAGGCACAGACATGCAAAAATCCAGTAATACTCTAGTAAATACCTTCATAAAAACAGTCACTGAGGCAGGGAAATACCATAAGCCACAATTAAATTTGGCCTCTCACTTGTTTTTAGTTTTGAAAAGGACATTTGTTTTTAAATTTTAATACCTGACAACGGTACAAGGCATATCTTATGCAAAATTTTCAAAATGTTTTAAGAAATAATGTCTTCAATTCAATTTCATGATAGAAAATGCTGTCCACATCCAGAAAAAGACCTACAGAATCTGAATGCAGATCGAAGCATATTATTTGTTCTCTGTCTCTTTTTTTAATGTTTGTTTCTTCCTTCTTGTGGTTTCCTCCATTGGTTCTAATTCTTCCTTACAACATGACTAATACGAAAACAGGTTTAATATGAATGTATATGTTGACCCTATATCAATTTACATGCCGTCTTGGGGTGGGGGTAGGGAAGAGATGGAGAGAAAATTTAGAACACAAAATCTTACGGAAATGATGTTGAAAACTAAAAATAAATAAATTTTATTATAAAAAAGAAAAAAGAAATAATGTCTTGACGATAGGTAAAAAATAAGCTGTATTAGCTAAGCTTTCCCCTAAAATGACATTTAACTTAATGATCTTTCTAGAAAAGTGTTCTTAGTTCTCCTAATACTTAGCAGAGCCTGAACATAGTGCTTAATAAATGCTTTGTTGACTAAGCTCAAAGAAAACTTAACAGTACATCTAATTCAACTCTCTTATTTTTAAAGAGGAAAACTGATTGAATAAATCAAATAAATCATGCCATTTCATTTCAAATAAATGATAAAACATGGCATCCTGATACCTTAATGAGGTGAAAACCAATTAATCATAGGCTTTAGATTAATGAAATGAATGAAAAAGTCCTTAATCAACTCGAGTGACTTTGACAGGAAGAATGTTCAGAATCTAAAAGAGATTTCAACAGGTTAAGAGGCAAGAGGATACCAATTAAATCCTTTGATTAAAGGAAGACTTTTGTAAACTTTAGAAATTTTGAAAATTTCTCATTTACCCCTCTCCATCCCAGCAGTGTCTCCAGAACTGGATGATAGTGTCTGCATTGGGAGCCAAAGACCAGATGAAGCCTCAAGGCTCTATAAATGGCCCAGCAGAAAAGTTACACATCTTGAGGATTCCAAGCAAAAGGACTTTCAGGAGTTGTAAGTTACTCCTTTGCCACATGAGTTCTCTGAGCCTAATCTCACTTTCCCCTAAATTTTGTTCTGGTGGGAGAGTTTGTCCAACTCTTGGGGATATGTTTTATAGCAACTATACTAACTATACCATCACAGTAAAGTATCCCTTTCTAAAAGCTAGTAAGTCTGGATGACTAACTGATAATTTTGAGAACACAGCAGAAAGAGGCCCTGATCCAAAAGCCTTAGAGAAGGACCCCCAATTCCTCAGGGACACCACCCTTAAGCCCTGAGAAGAGCTGTAGCTAACTACTCTTGCTAAATTTGGGGAACCTAACTTATGAATGTAATTAGGAGTTGCGATAAGTACCCTCAGAATTAGTATGTGCTACATAAATATGGAACATGACACTCAATCAGTCAATAAGCATTTATTAAGTGTTTACTGTGTGCCAGGTACTCTGCTAAGGTCTGGAGATACAAAGAAAGGTAAACACACAGTCCCAGTCTTCAAGGAGCTCACATTCTAATTAATTTAAGTAACTGGTTCAAGGTAAAAAAAGATTTTGTTGATCTGGAACTAAAAGCCAGGTCTCTTGACTTTTAATTTTCATGTAACATTGTATAACATCCAATTTCAATTATTAACTGTACATAGGTACAAGAGAATCCCTTTGTAATATGGTCTAAGCATACAGGGCTAAAGATGAAAACCAATCCATGTCAGAATAGCCTTGTACTGTAGAAAGTTACTCTTTTGAGTATATATAATTAAAATAATGATATATCTGAAATCATGTGATAGTGGTATTCTATTATACTTATAAGATACCTTATAAGCTCTTAGTAGGAAAAGGTTCTATTTTGTTTGTAAATGTCATTTGTATTAGTTTATGAAACTTATGGTCTTAAGAGAACTACCTGGAGGTTAAGTGACTTGCCCAGAGTCACACAAACAGTATGTGTCAGACTTGGACTCAGGTCTTCCTGGCTTTAAGGCCACCTCTCTATTCACTACACCAAGATGACTAAGCAGAATTTAAATACCCCAAATTCTAAGTTAAAAAAAAAAAGCAATCCACCATTGTATTATATTATAATAATAATTACATAAGAATAATAAAATGATACATATATATGCTACCTTCTAGCATGTCTTTCCCAAGGATGAAGAAAAAGTGTTTAAATATAACAATTAACTTGAATCTTATAACAAAACTAAACAAGTTGACCTACAGACTAAATTTACTTTAGAATTTCAAGTAGGGTTCTCAATGGTAAACTTAATTTCAAATGATCAAGTTCTCAATGAAAGAACTATGTAGGTAGTAAAGGTGTTTTAGGCAAGAATCACTCTAAAAATATCCAGTCTAAAGTCCAGCAGATCTTTTTATGCTCCCCTTCTTCATTCTTTCACTTTCCCTCCAAAATAAATTAACATCTCCAAAGTAAGGAGAGAGGCAAACCAAAAATACAACAAAAAACAGAGATACAAAGATGGTAGCCAACTTTTGGATGTGAATACCATTTGTTTCAAGTGTGGAATAAGGGAGAGAAGGCAGTAGGAAAGAAAAGGAAAATTGGTTAACTTTCCAGCATCTTCCAAGTCAAGTCTCTTACACTACTTTCAAGCATTATTATGAGAATTCATATTCAACACAGCCAGTCATAATCTAATTTACACATGAAAACACAAAGAAACACCCCAAAGTCAAATATACATATATATATGACTTCTGCATTATCTGTACCACTACTCCCCTTCCATTAGTAAATATAATAATAAACTGCACGAGGATTTTAAATATTGAAAGTATTTAGTTTCTTACTGTGAAAACAAACCAAAACAAAACAAAGCTTCCAGCTACAGCAACAAGAAAAATAATGGGCTTAGTATGCAACAAAATTGTTAATACAGAAAATGAACATATATTTTCTTTCTAAATAATGACAATTAATAACAGCAACTACAGGTAGTCAAATGATATTTATCCATGAAAAATAATTATAAAAATCAACCCATGAAGTCTTAGAGAAAAGTTATCTTAAATTACCTGAATAAAAAAGAAAATCTTTACCTCTCAAAATATATTTCAATACTGCAACTACATATTAAAGTAAAACCAAAACTTTTAGATGTCAGAAATTTTATTTCACAGTAAGATAAAATATTTTCTGACCAATTCAAGATTTTATTTCAATAAGATAAACCATCTTTGCATTTTAGAAAAAAAGCAAGTTTTCTGGAAAGTTCAATTTAAATTTTGAATCAAATGTAGTTTGAATAGGTGACATAAACCATTCAAATAATTCAATGATTCTTAAGAGAAGTCCAAAATACCTTTACTTCTTCACATAATTCGGTAAGGCGATCTTCTACATCTATTTTTTCTGGAAAAAAAAAATTAAAGTATAGACAGATGAAATCTTTTAGTGTTAAAATTTAGTATTATTCTGCAAATAATATAACTAAATTATCTTCTTATTTAAGCAAACGTAAGAAATTCCTAGGCAATATTTGAATAGTTAAGTAAATGCAGAGGTAATTTACCATTTTCATAGGAACATTAACTATGTCAGTTCACTAAATAACTATTTTCTAAATTATTGCTCTGGAATAACAAGATAATAGTAATTTTTAAAAAGGTAATAATGCCATAAAAATATCTATAATACTCATGTAGGGACTAGCTCAACTTCAATAAAAGGTTACCATTCTCTGTTATGCATATGATTATATATAACACACATCTTGAAATATTTTAGTGAATTGAATCATGCTTAAAATGTACTTGGGATACTGTATTATTTAGGGAAAACCTGACAAATTCTTTAAAATTAAGTATTTTCTAATTTCATGTTTTGTCAATTATATGTATTTTTACATCAAGAATTCTTGAAGGAGGCATATCTCTAGCATATTCCAGATTTATATGATACACATTATAAACACCTGAATGAAGGCAGAATGAATTAAAGTACTTCCAATATGAACTTAATGGAATACTTTAAAATGAAGAAAAATAATGAAATAAATTTAAAAATTTCTTCATTTTTTTCCTTTCAAGAGTTCAACTTGCATAATACAAAGTGACTTTGTTTTTAATTGACTTCATACCTGCAAAACTAAAACAATATATTTAGCTTCTGTGAAAGATGAAAAAAAAAAGCCAAATTACAAACCTAGTATTTTATAAACTTAACATTTAAGAGAAAACTTTGTGGTCATCTAGTCTAACCTCCCCACCACTGCTGGTTTGTTTACTCATTTTCAACAATGGGAAATTTCTTACCCTTTAAAGTAGTCTAAAATGTTTATTCCTTCATTAAAATAACTACTAATATACTGATTTTAGAAAATGTTATGGATTGTTGTGAATACAACTAAATTAATACATTCAAGAGACAAGGTTTTCATTGGTAGTTGTAGATCATGAGTATTTGTATAATCTTTAAATACAAAAAATTGCTTTATGGATTTTGTAATTAATCCAATACATTATTCTATTTGACAGCCTTACTAGTTAAGTGATATTTTTTTTGGGGGGGGGATTAAGTGACTTGCCACACAGCTAGTAAGTGTCAAGTGTTTGGTCTGAGGCCAAATTTGAACTCAGGTCCTCCTGACTTCAGGGCTAGTGCTCTATCCACTGTGCCACCTAGCTGCTCCCACTAGTTAAGTGATATTAAGACATGGAAGCCTGACATTTTTTGTTTTCAAAGTTTAAACAATTTCCCACCACCCAAAAAATGAAGTTAAAAGGTATTCATAAAGTTTGTGAATTTTACTGTTTCTCATTACTCTCTATATAATATGGGTCATTTTCTATATTGAAAATGACTAACAGATACAATGCTTAAGTACACAGAGCAGTTCTGATATTTAAATTCAGGTCTTTAAAAAATGAATTCACTGATTTTTAATACAAAAGTCTCTATTTAAACTCAATGAAAGTTGTTTTAAATCAGTGGTATCAAACTCAAATAAAAAAGAGGACCACTAAACCATGCAGTAGGATGCATATTGACTTGGAAAACTAAATGTTAATATTATCTATTGTTTTATTGTATTTTTATTTATTTTCTTAAATAATTTTAATATGGTCCAAGGACACATTTAGGAGTGTTGTGGGCCCTAGCTCACTTTGCATGTTTTGACACTTCTGTTTGAAATTATTGCTTCGGTTAAGAAACTGTTAATGAAGGTATGTTTTAAATTATCTTGTCTTTGTACTTCACTGTTTTTAATTCAGTAAATATATCTTTTAATTGTTATTTTAAGCCTAAAATCAAACCTGTCTGAAAAAGAAAAACTTTTAATATATGGGTACAAGCATAAATATATTATGGGCCCATAATATAAACTGAAAAACTACCAATTCTAAATTAATAGATCAAAGCCTTATTTTAAGATTTCATGAAAGGAAATTAACTGGGTGCAATGTCATTGAATATGAACACACATTTATTTTGACAATGGAGACACTAGTAAGTATCATTATGGCCAGATTTCTACAATGTAAAAAACATATTTATAGCTGTGTAGAATAAATATATCTATAATATGTTTATAGATATTTTCATGAGATGAAACTGTCATAAAAATGATGTTAAAAGAAAAAAAACTGATAGAACTTCAGGTTTTGTTCTTATTCCTTCCTCCCTGCCTTATATCCTGAAACCTTGTTAACTTTTAGTTGCTTCACTGAAATGAGGTCAATTTAAACATATCTGAGCTAACTTTTGGCAGGGGAAACATGTGAAAAGGTCTAATTTGTCCTTTAATTTAAATTTTTACTTATTCATTTTTAATGAATAGATTAATAGCAGTTAAATATTTTTAAAGGGAAAAAGTTTATTGAACTCTAAGACATTTTCAATTTTGTATTACAGAAATTACCTGTTTGATACAAAACTCAACATAATTTGGTAAGTTGATATAAAGAATATTTCACACAGATGTTAAATAAAATATAATTACCATTACTTGCTTACTGAACTGAATTATATGTCTTTGAAATATAAAATTAGAACTCTGTTATTTTGACTTAGAGTAATTTTTATTTCTTATATAACATAGAATTATTGAGAAGTTACTCTTGAATTGGAGTAATATTACATTAAAATATAACTCAAACTCAAGTTAATTTAGCTAGTCTTCTGATTTACTTCTGTCATGCACATTAGATTTTTTCCATTTAAGATTTTTATCACTGAGTCTACTCAAAGTTAAGAACTATTGAGAAAAATTAAGTTTAGTTCCATTTTGGTAGTACAGATATTATCTAAAATAAGCTTTTTAAAAACCCTGTAGTCACCACATGGTAGCTCTGTTCTTGAACACGACTCGTGCCTGTGACCCAGAGAGAAGCACTTAAAGAACTCTAAAAAGGGTATTAAAGGCTCCTTAAGGATAGCCTTTTTACATTTACCGTTTCATAGTTTAAAATAAGAAATTTTGTTAATTCTGCCCTTTGGATATTGGATTCAAATTGAGAAAGTCACCATTAATGATCAAAGAATTTCTGCTTCATAAAACAACCAAAATCTGTAACTACTAATGGTGGGAACATATTACACTGGCATATAAACTTACTGTTAATAATTGAAAACAAGAATTTCTATATCACTAAAGATTCTATGAGGTTACTTATCCTGCATTAAAAACATACCTAGATTTGTGTCTTTCTGGTTTCGTGGACATTTTCTTCCGAGAAGGCGCTCGTAAAGGACGTGCATGCTGGCCTTGGCTAGTTATAAGGATTGCACACATGACTAGTTACTATACTCCTTTTTCAATGTAATTTATTAGAATTTGGCTATAAGTTAGTAATAAATGTTATCACTGGTTTTCTAGTGTAGTTAGATTAGAACAGTAAAGCAGAGTCCATTGATTGGTAAGTTGATAAGCATATTAAATAATACTTAAAACGTGTACATTAAGGATGACGTTGAACTCTAAGGCTTGTTACTTATTTCAATTTAAATCTCTTTAAAATTTAAGTGACATATGATCAAAATAACTCAATTTTGTTTATATGTAACTATATCCATTTTCAAATGAACAAGTATTTATTAATGAACACCTATTAGTAGGCACTGTGCTAGGTGCTGATGATACAGACAAAAAAATTAAAAACAATTTTTTGTCCTCAAGGAACTTAAAAATTTTTAAAGTGGTAGGGGCCTTAGTCTAATCTCATTCATTCACTTGACAGATGAGGAAACTGAGACCTAAAGAAATTACATGATTTACTAAAAAAGAAATTAATAATAGTGGGGACTAGAATTTAGGTTTCTAGACTACCTAGTCCAATGTTTTCACTTAATTATCACTTTTAAATTAGATGTCAATAAGAAAAATATATCATCATTGTAGGTGAAAGTAAAAATGCAAAAAGAGAAAAGAAATAAAGGCATTATTCTAAATATCAGGAACATTCCCAGTTTTTTACCCCTCTCAAAAAGCTCTGGAACATTTTCCAAACCTTATTTGAAATTCAGCTTTTGAAATACAGAAGAATTTGAAAATTCATGCTAAGGGGAAAAGCAAATACAAGTGTACAAGAGATAAAAGTAAATTCAATATTCTATAAATAAAAAGCAACTTTACATCTATTTTAAAATTTGTCATCTTCATAGGATAATGGAAATATAGTTATATAAATTTTATTTTGCAAAAGAAAGACTTATTTAAGTTTATGGGTTAATTACTTTTATCTTAAACAGTAAGATTTTTTAGAAGTCTATTTAAAAGATGCATGCAAAAGAGACTAACAAGTCACAAGAAAAAAAGGGGTACGTCAATAAATAATAAAGAAAGATTTAAGAAAAACAAAGTATTACCAACAAATATTTACTGAACATAAAACATTAAAATGTCCTTGGAAAATAAAAAGTAAACTTTACACTATAAATTATGAATTAGTACCTATGCCTAGTCAAATGATTTTTTAAAATTATCTTTTACCATACAAAGAATGAGTTCTATTTTTGCTCATTTAATATTTTATGATAAATTATTTAAAATGTATAATTACAAAGAAACTTTTGATTAATCTCTGGGCCTGTGTTCTGAGTTGAAATAGAAAGTGTTAATAGATTAACTGTGTTATTTCCAGTCTCACTTTACCAATTTAAAAAAATAAAAGGAAAAAAATCCCTCCTATATATATCTATATTTTCACTAAGAGGAAACAGTTATCAAGTATAAATTAAGAAAAAAACTTATTCCATAAAATGAGAACTGGAGAGATTGACGTTTTTTCTATTTGAAATACATTTTTGTCTCTGAGAAAGACAACCTATTCTATTATGACTACTACATGACTCAACTTTTATAAATTAGCTGTTGTTGGCAAATGTATTTTCTCTGAGTTAAACTGTAAATAATTTTTTCTCTTAAATATCTATTGTGTTAAATATGCAATTATATTAGTACATTGAATAAATTAAAATACAATTTTGTTTTAAAATTTTTATCACAAATATTGTTTCAACACAAAAAAAGACAAGGTGATTATAATCTACATCTTTGAAGAATACAGACACTCTACAATAGTGTTCTACGTGTAGGGTTCATCCAAAGAAATACATTCAGATGTTTTAAGTAGAAGGCAAAATAAGAAAGCAGTTTGTCCATTTAATAGATGGCCTGAAGGATAATAATCCTTTCACATTATTTTTTTTTATTCTGAGGGATAATATGTATCCAAGAAGAAATGTTTATTAACATATACACATGGGGTGCACGTGTACATTAAGTATTCAACCTTCTGAAACAGTCAATACAAAAACAAAAACAATTTGGCTGATTTTTTCCCCAGGGAACTGATGATTCTTTTATGGTATAGATAACTGAATTGACTATAACATTATAAAGGCAAAGGCAGGCACAGTTATTGCCATCTCCGTAGTTATCTTCACAGTAACAGTGAACCAAACAGTTAGACTACAGAGAGTTCAATGATTCAGTAAGAATACATTAAAAATATTTTTGGTTTATCTATCAAAACCAACCAAGCAAACAAATAAAAAACCCAAAACAGGCAACTGGAAAAACAGACTACTTATCTTTTTTTTTAAATTAAATTTTATTTTCAGTATTCTTTCTTTTCTACTTAAATTTCAATATAATTTCAAATGAAGTATTTTCCCATCTGTGAGATATCTAGAATGACACCTACTATTTCACAAAGAGCATTAAAAATTATTAAAAGATTAAGGTGCTCAAAAGAATAGGTAGAAAATATGACAGAATTAAGTTAACAGTAATCAAAATAGAAGCAACTGGATTTCTTCAAAAGGATAGAGAATTAACATAATTAAAATCTTAAAAATGATCTAATTCACTAAAATTATATGAAAATGAAAAATCAAACATAAAATCAAAATTTTAACATTGTCAACCCCAATAACATATGTGTGTATATTATGTATTTGCTTATATATTATATATATATACACATATACACACACATAGATATTTATTTAATGAAATCATGTGCTTGGTTTGTTGGTGACCTATAGCTCTTAAGGATTGGTTAGATGATAATCATAATCCCACAAATTTAGAGTAAGCAACAGATTCTATGGTCAACTGAAACTAATTTTTTAAGTTGCTTCAAATACTTACAAAATTTAACCCTCCTATTAAATATTTTATGTGGATTGTTAACTTGTTTCCATACTTGTTCCACAATATTACTTCCTATTTTTATTTTGCCATTATAATAAAGGATAATGTACTATTTTTTGTTTTTTTCATGTCAAAATATTCACTTAAAATGTAGCACTAAGAAGTGGTTTTTTAAAGACTGTAAAATATTTCTGATTCACATATTCAGATTCAATAGTTAAAAGAGATAAATACTACCATTTATGAACATTATAGTTTTCATGTGAAAAGTATAGCAATGTGTCTTCATAATTAACAATATAATCATGTAGAAAAAATTTGGAAGTACAGAAAAAGATTGTATTACTTCCAACATACCCAGATCTATTCTGTGACAAGAGGGAAGCTCTTGTGTTACCGTTAGGAAGTAGCTGTGCAATCCCTGGAATGCTAGCAGCAAACTGGCACAAAGTGTGTAATGGAAATTGTAGGCATGATGTAAGAAGGATTCTGCAATCATGAAACTGCATCCCTAAACAAAAATATTAAGATAATATGTTACTACCTAAAAAAATCTCAAAATGAAAAACACAAAGATTGTATTTTTCTTATACTAAAATTCAGATCATTTACAATAATCCTTGTTAAATCTAAACCATAAATATGACTAAGGTAAAGCTTAACACAACTGTTTTTGTTAGTAAAAGTCATTTAAGCATATTGAATATGGCTCAATTTATTCAACTGAATTATACTGAAACAAAGGCTTTTCTAATTCAAGCACAAATTTTTATATTACCTATAAAAACCATTCATATTAGAATTATAACTGTTGCTTTTTGGAATCAGAGGAGACTCTCATCTGAACTACTAGACTAGCATTTTGACTGGTTATGATTCATTACTTCATTACTTTCTAAGATTTTGTCAAATTTGATAATATCTGTAAAGCACTTAGCACAGTGCCTGGCACATAGTAGGTGCTATATAAATGTTAACTATTATTTTTATTATTACCAAGGTCAACTCCTTTTGGAGGGACTTTTTGCTGAATGAACATATAATGTTTGGGGTCTGTCTTTAATTCTGCAAAGAGTAGAACCTTGAGGGGGATAAATTCTCCTAGAACCACTTCTTTAGGCTGGTAAGGTTTTGTTAACAGAACAAGTGATAATTGTGGAAAGGTGAAAAAGCTGAGAGATTGTCAAAGATTTCTTTTATTTAGTATACATCTTAAGCTAGGCCTTCAGGTTATATTATAGTTTTGACAATCAGAATATGGAATCATTTGATGGTTTCCAAACTCCCCCTTTTAATTGGGTCAATCCATTAAAAGAGTCAATCTCCAAAGTGATTCTAACTATCTAAAGTTCTACTGTTTACTGAAAAAAACATTTGTTGCATTCCTTTTTCCTGAAATAAGAAAAGAGAAAAAAATTAAATATACTATATTCTTACATCTGGAGCTAACTGTTTTGAGTAGTTATTACCAAAGACCACGCTTTCAAGAGAAGGAATCACAGAGTCCTTGCTTTGTGCTGGTGCATTCCTATTTAACCAAGTGTTCTTCACAGGACGAGGAAAGCTGAGGGAACAATTATTTTTAAATTACTGTTTTTTCAAAAAGCAACTTGAATTCAACTTAAATATGTGCTAAATAAAGTCTTATAAAAATAAAAATTCACCTAAAGAGTTATACTTCTGCAAGATTTTGATTTCTACTAATGCACTTTAAGATGAGGTTGAAAAAATGATTCTTTCTGTACTGAAGACAAAAGTACTCCAAAGTATTGCTATTCTCCTCTTCTGGTGAACCTTCACATAGCTTGGCAATGGACAAAAAATAAGAGAAGAGGAACCTGATGACATTTGTCAGTTCACTGGCTGTTTTTTTGGAACTATTGTGGGGAGTACTGGTAGTCCTTAAATTAAGTATTTTACAATCATCTAAATATTTATATATTGTTTTTCTGATATAGGTCAAAATTTATGGAGTTAGGAGCCATAATTTAAATATTATAAGAGGAAAAGCATTTAATGTACTTGGTACCTTGGTTTCTCAAGAAATAGGGATATTTTCATAGGATCACAGAATCAGAGTTGCAAAGCTGGAAGGGACTTACATGATCTAAACCCACAACTGTGATGTTTTAAGGTTTGAAAAAATAATGCCTACAAATTCTTGTAGGTACAATCTAAACAATTCTAATGTCAAAACAGATATGGTAGCACAAACCCTCTATAAAAATTCCCTCTGTATGAAGAAAATTACCATTTTGGATATAATTTTTGTATTTCTATTAATACTACTATATGAGATAATCAAGAATGATAATTGATACTTGTCAAATTAATGCACTCAGACCATTTGCAAAAAGAAGGGAAAAGGAAATTGGTATTGCCATAAGCAACAAGCATGTTTCATATGCAAAAAAGAAATAAGAATTTGCAAAAATAAAAATGTGACTACCAAAGCAAATAAATCTTCAAGTCAACTGTAAATTCCATTTGCTGCCAAATGTTTTTTTCAGAATTAAGAATTAGTACTACTATTTTGGAAAAACTGCATTAAAATAACACGCTAAAGAATAAGAAATAGATCATGTGCAAGCCAGGTATATAAGAAAATCCTGAAATTACTTAATCTAAATAATCAATTGAACCAATATCTATTTCGGTTAATTGTATTAATTTAATTTTATTTATATTAGAACAACAATAAAACAATGAGAAATGCTCATGCTGTTTTTACTATGATTGGAAGACAAATCTATAATAAATAAATTTAGGAAAAAACTTGTTGAAACATTTAGAGCTAGAAATATTACCTTTAAAATGACCTCTGAACCAGTACCATCAGCAAAAAGTTTTGCCACTATCTTGCCCTGCTGCCTTTTACCAAACTCTCAACTTGATTTATAAGTAGAAGAAAGTGAGAGAAAAATTCTGTATTCATGGCAAGGACAATTCTAGCAACAGAGGACATGAGGATCCATGGCAGTTACTGAGGGTAGCAACACCAACTATTGAATGTACCTCGACTTCTCCTCCAGCCACTAAGCAAAGCCAACAGTTCATCCTCCTGGCATATGATTCAGAGCCAAAAGTCTTCTTTCAATAATCCATGTCTAGGGGGTAAGTTGTCCTTTTTTCTTATTGTGGGTGCCAAAAACCATTATATTGTAAGAGGAAGCACATGTTGTATTGTAAGAGGAAGCACATGTTTAACTAACATGTTTACTATTTCACTACTTAATGAAGGCCATCAAAATGAGCACCTGATGGATGGTCTATATATTAATTAAGGGAGATACTATGCTTGCATTACTCACATGTCCTTAGTGAGTTTGTAAAACTAGAGCTTCCAATTAAGAATTTCTTCTATAGAAAGAAGTTCAAAGTAGCATATACTTAAAAAAAAAATGAAAACCTCCATTATGAACATCAAATAGTTGTAATGGAGGTTTGTAAAAATAAATATTAAAAAAAAGAGAATGATGATATCAGGCAAATGAAAGCTTTGAGGATCTTTACAGTTTAACTTTTATGCTGAGTAAGTTCTCTTCATAGATATTAAACAATATTTATAGATTTTTACCCAAGGAGAATAATTTATCCCTATTTAATGGTTAGCAATTTTTTCAAAAGATCACAGATTTAGAACTTGAAGGGCTCTTAGAAGTCACCTAATCCAACTCCTTTATTTTATAAATGAAGAAATTGAAGCAAACAGAGGTTAAGTGACCTGTCCAGGGCCACATAGCTAATAAGTTAAGTAGGATTTAAACTCAGGTTTTCACGACTCCAAGTCCAATGCTCTATCTACTTACGGTATGACATCTTTTAAATAATTCAAGAACTGAAATAATTCAATAGAAACAAAAATAAGAAGAATTTAAGTTTAATGATTAAAAGCAAAAACACTACTGAAGATATACAAATCTGAACACAGTACACAGGAACTGTTGAAGTAATCTCTCTGACATACTGAATACTATTCAAAAGCTTATCACAGTATACGATGACCTATTCCAGCCTTCATAACTAGAAAAGTACATGAAGTAGAAAGGTTTTAGCAATGAATTTTAAAGATGACCAAAATTTTGGAAAATCAAAGTACTATCTGAAGAAAAGTTAAATAAGTTGGAATTATTCATTTTAGAGATGGGAGGAAAGGATGACAGGAAATTTCATAGCTAAAATACATAAGAGGGTTATTTATAGTGAATGTTCTATAGCTCTACTACAAAGAGAACAAGGGAAAAGAGTCTTTTACTACAACTTTATAGTTTAGACATAAAATGAATTTCCTGACACTAACAGGACTGGGCTATTAAAGAAAGTTTTAGGATACTTTTCTCTTAAGACTTAAAAAACACAATAAAGTAGTCTTAGTCAGAAGAGAATTATATTTTGGCATGACCATGCCAAGGAACAGGGACATATGTGGACTATTTAGGACAATTTTGGTTTGTTCTAAGATCTTACAAATTTTTACTAGAAAATGTTTTGGATCAGGAAACACCATTGCATAATAGATCTGCACTATTAAAGTTAAAAATCTCATCTTCTTAAAATCTATTATTATTTTAGTATAATTTATATCACCATTAAGTAAATTATAAAAAATCTCTCAACAGTTCTACATTATTAGGTTATTTTTCAAAGCATTTTTCTTCCTACAGGGAAAAAAAAGCATTGTCATTTAGGAGATCAGATAAATTTACCTTATTAGTGGCTGGTGTAGTGCAACTAAAGAAGCATGGACTGTAACAGACACAACAGAAAGGTGGAAATAATCAAACATAACATTAACATGATGATGAAGGCCTCTATGGAGGCTAAAGTGCAGCTTCAATGTTCGGCTACTTATTAGTTGCAAGGAGTTCAAGTCATCTGCCCTATAAAAAGCAACACATTTGTATGTAAGTACAAAAATGATTTAAAAAAGAGTTAATATTTCCTAGTTCGGTTTAAAATAACAGAAAATAATTACGAATGAATATAATGTAATCTTAGGGAAAGGTCATTATTAACTACTTTTAAAAACTCTAAACAAATACTGAGAAATAATCTAAAAAGCACTAAATTAACATGGGATAACAACAGAACACCCCAAAATGAAAAAATATACTTGTCTCATTATCACTCTGTTCTCAAAATCCATACCATGAGTTGTTTTATAAAGCTGTCTCATAATGTTTTTTTTTTTTCGCATTTCTGTAACTACAATCAAATTCTCCTAGACAGAGATTAACATGATAATATAATGCCAATTGTATTATAAGGTACTGGACAAATTCAATCCAGTTAAGTTCTTAAAGCCATTTCAGATTATTCTGCTGTATAAAATTTTGTAGTACTAAAATTAAGGATCCACTACTGGGGGCTCTGACATATTTTAGTGCAACAGATAATTGTGATTGCAATGAGATTTTACCTGTAAAACAATTTTGCAACAATTTCAAGAATAATATCCAATATAGTGTGGTTAGGTAACAATGAATACATAGAGCATTAGTGGATGTATAGAATAGAACAATTCTCTAACTTTGGCTAGTACTAGAAGCAAGACTCTGATTGGATGAAAATTATCAAGGTATTCCTTTGTGCATCAAAAGTGGACCTTCAGTAGAGGAAGTGGCTGTTATGTGGGAACCTGATTCCTTACTGTCACTTAACCTGTCATAATGAAATTCTCAGGGCTAAGATATAAATAGTGACATTTAAGATGGGTTAAATGCAGAAATACCACAAAGTAGATTGATATTACATGAAATTTTTCAAAAATGTTTTATAACAGCATTTGCAAGACAACAAATAAAAAGTAAAACTGTTTCATTGTATTTACAATTCTCTCTACATGACAGTCAAGGAAGTAAAAGTGTTTCCAGTTATAACTGGTCTAAAATACAGCCCCAATGATTTAGTTGGATAGGCAAGTCAGGATAGTCATTCCTAAATTTCTTAAGAGGTTTGAAAATGAATGTTATAAAGTCTGAGACGAATCAGTGCTGGTCACAAATTCATAGGCCTTAAAACCTAAAAAAAATAAAACCTTATTCATTGTGTTTCTAAGGTGTGGGTCAGCATGTTGCAGTGGAAAGAACAATGTTCTCTGTGTCCAGAATCCTGGGCTCAAATTCTTGCTTTTGATTTTTACTAGCTATATGACCACAGTAAAGTCACAACTCTCAATGCTTAAATTTCCTCATGAGTAAAATGGGGATGAAGTCACCTAAAAGACCTATAAGGCTACTGTGAGGACCAAAACAACCAATGTATGTAAAGTGAGCTGACAACATTAAACATATATTAAGTCAGATCTTACTATGTGGAAAGTGGGGATACTACTTATACTATGTCCCTCAAATGGTTACTGTGAAAAAAGTGTTTTGTAAACTTAAAAGTGCCATTAAGATGAGAGTTTTCATTGTCATCACTTCATCATGGTATAAGAGATACATAGAGTTCATTTCCTTGTACTTTCTCATGCTGTATAATTTTACCACCTGAATCTCATGTAATCTGAGTGACTGTAGTATATTGTCTTCAACTGGTGTCAGGATCCAAAATTGTATTCCCTAATTAATTTTATAGAGGGATTGTTACCAGAAAGGGAGTAAATATTTATTAAGGACCTATTGTGTACCAGGCACAATGCTGAACACTTCATAAATACCATGTCGTTGATCCTCACAACAACCCTGTGAAGAAGGTGCTATTATAATCCCCATTTTACAGTTGAGGAAACTAAGTAAGTGAACTCTGCAAGACTACATAGCTAATAAGTACCCGAGGTAGGATTTGAACTCAGGTCTTTTGAACTCCAGGCCTAGTGCTGTATCCAGCGTGCTAACTAACTATAGAAGAAATTTTAGGAAGAAGGAAACAGGTAATCAAAAAAAAAAAATTCCCAGTTGTCACTTAGGGAAGTACAGCAAGTCTAGGTATCTTAATAGTTAACTGTTTTATTTGAATACTTACGAATAATCTGTGTCTGTGAAGTGTAGATCTAAAGATAACAGGAAATTCATTTCATCAAGGGATTCTTCAATCTTAAAAGAAATGAATGGCTTATGAAATCCACTTTGAATAGGTAGAGAAAATATAAATGATAGTTGAATGCTTTAAATTTATTTGATGTTTACCTTTTTTTCATCCAATAGCATTTTAACTTTGAAGATCATAACATCATTTATAACAATTTCTTCATTTTTGTAAAGAATTTGAAATATTTTACTGCAAATTACATTGTCATGAACAGAAGCTGGAAAGGCTAGATCCAGACCTGAAAATAATAACATATAGGACTGACATGTGAATGGCAGAACATAATAAAAATAATTAAATGCACTCTACATTTAAAATTCTGTAGTCTTTATTTTGTTAATCCAGTATCCTTGCCATTTTTAAAATTTTAAGACATATCAAAAAGAGTTCAATATTTTTTTTTCTTGATTAAGAATAGGAACACATAAATGCACTCTGACAACAAGCCGCAGTGTGAGGAAGAATACTTACTAGCTATGGGATCATTAGCAAATCACTGAACCTCTCAATATGTTTCCTCATTTATAAAACATACACTAATACTTACACTATGTCAGCAAGTCAACAGGTATTTATCAAGCATTTACTAAATGCCAGCCACTATGCTAAGTATCAGGGTTACAAAAAAAAGCCAGGCTTTTAAAATAAAATGTGAATTGCTTCTGTAGTTTTGGCCAATGACTAATCAGCTGGTCTTTATTTCTATTTCTTCAGAGCCAGTTATTTTTGAAATTGGGAAACATCAAGTGCATTATTTTGTATACTTATTAGCCACAACTTTAACTGTTTCACAAATGTGGTTACTTTATTTTTGCTTTATCAGAGTATGAATTTGAGGTCCTGACATTTAAAAAAAAAAAAGAGTACTGAGTTTTTACAAATGTCTACCACTATGCAAGTCTCAGAAAGATGTCTGTGTTATAAGATGGATTTACTTCATTTTTACTACTATCAGAAAGAAAAATGGAAATTTCTTATTTTAGCTCAGACATCCTTAGAAGTACTTAGGTATCACTATGCATCATGTTTTACCCCAAACTAAAGGTGTCCTACACTCTCACCAAAAGCACTACAAAATTTTGCAAAGAAATGTCCTTCTCATGACTTTTTGGGAAAAAAGTAAAGCTGATGTTTAAATAAAGCTGATTACCTTTATATAACTTGAAAAGATGTGTACAGTGATTTGATCATACTCTTTGGTACAAGTAACTCTCTGATGCTTGTCTTTAAAGATTGTCTTTAGTCAACATTAATATTTAAAATAACAAGTGGTTGCATTAAAAAACCTTTATGCCACAAATTACCAATAAAATTCAGTTCAAGAAATGTTCATTATGTCTAGCATCTACTATGTCAATCAACAATCCATCAACAAGCATTTATTAAATGCCAAATACAGGCTAGGTGCCAGAGACACAAAGATAAAAAAAGAAACAATCTCTGATCTCAAGAAGCTTTTAGTCTCTTGGGGGAGACAACACGTACATGTATAGGTACATACAGAATAAATACGAAACAATATCAGGCTAAGTTAAATACAAATTATTCAGTGAGAGAGGGCACTAGAAGTTAGGAAGACCTACAGGCACAAGGTGGTGTTTGCTATGTGTCTTGGATGAAATTAGACACTTTATGAGAGGAATGTGAAGAGCAAATACATCCTGGGCAATACATTAGAGACACAGAAGAAAGATGATATTAAAAAGATGAATCTGTGCTTCAGGTAAAAGTACTGGATCACTATAGGTGTCCTGCAATTTCCTAGAAGCAATCCAGGCCACTTTCCTCATTTACTTTTGTGCCCAATTCATAGTCCGTTTGCAGTAAGTCGAAGGATATATATATTGGATTAAAGTTATACGTGTGTGTGTGTGTGTGTGTCTGTTTGTACACACACACACACACACACACACACACACACACACACACACAGGCTGTCCATTTGATTTAACATCTGTAAACTAGGCGTCTTCATCCACCTGTATTTTCCTTGTAGATAGGTAAGCCAAACATTTTTGAGTAACTATGGATCTCCTTTATGAGATACTGCAAAGTTCCTGGGTTTGGTGCAATCAGCACAATGCCACCAACAAACAGGAACACACATTTCACTATTCACAGGGAAATGCTCTTCAACTTAGATTGTTCACTGGATCTCCTACATGACAATGGCAAATACCTTTGGCAAATATACACATCTCTATATTTTGCTGTGCTTGATATTATGATAAAAGTAATTAAACAAGGTTTATCTATTGATATAGTTTATGAGGAATCTCACATAACTGTGATTAATGCAGAGGAGACAACATGTTGTATGGGAGCTTTTAATGTGGCATTTTGCTCGAGGTAATCAAAAGCTTAAAAAAACAATCAGCAAACAATAAGGACAATAGGATCTTGTATTTTCTACACATTTTAGTCAATTGTGTGATAGCAAATATGTGGTCTATAATATTGTTAAAAGCCTGCCTGTTTACTATTAATAACCCTTAACAAGGATGCCACTAATTCATGTGTAGATTATATAGATTTATATAAATAGGAAGGTTATTAGTTGTGGATGTTTTCTTATTCAAATTCCTATAACCTTTTTATTCCTGTTTGATATTATCTCTCTAATGGTAAAGTTCACTTAGTAATAAATTACACTGATATAGTGTTGTGCAGTTACAAACAGCCGTACATACATTATATCATTTGCAAACATAACCATTTAAATCCGTATAAGCAATTACCTCTTATTATTTACTTGTGGAGTTCTTTCTCTTAAAAAAAAAAAGTCTAATATTTCCTTTCACAGTTGACTGGACAGGAAAACTTACATTAAAATTTGTTAAAGAAAGCATGTCTGGGGCAGCTAGGTGGTGCAGTGGATAGAGCACTGGCCCTGAAGTCAGGACGACCTGAGTTCAAATCCGACCTCAGACCAAACACTTGACACTTACTAGCTGTGTAACCCTGGGCAAGTCACTTAACCCCCAATTGCCTAAAAAAAAAAAAGTACGTCTGCTATAGTCTCCATCTGTGAAAAAATAACAAATACTTACTCTTTTTTTTTTTTTTACATGGGGACAGAGAAGTTTTGATGTCAGCTTCCCTTTCCCAAACCTGTGGTGTAGTTTGGAGACCTATAGTTCCTATCACTTTGAAATGGTTCTTCTACATTTTTAGGATGTGCATTTTTTTTTTTTAGCATAAACTGAAGATTACTTTACCAGCAAGATTACAAGCCTGGAAAAGTATTAGAATGATTTTATAATCTTTTTCAACCATTCAGAGAATAGTTACTGTCCTTTATGGTTGATGCTACTGTAGAACATTCCACTGTCAATACTTTTACTATGACATTTTATCTTTTTTCCAATTACATGCTAAAACAATTTTTTAACATTTGTGGGCTTTTTTTAAAATTAAAGTTTTGAGTTCCAAATTCTATCCCTCTGTCCCTGAGATAGTAAGCAATCCGATATAGATTATATGTGTGCAATCACGTAAAACATTTCCATATTAGACATTTTGTACAAGACTCAAAAAAAAAAAGAATGAAAGTGAAAAATAGCATCCTTCCATCTGTATTCAAACAATATCAGTTCTTTCTCTAGAGGCAGTATGTTCGTCATTAGTCCTTTGGGATTGTCTTGGATCACTGTATTGCTGAGATTAGCTAAGCCATTCACAGTTCATTATCAAACAATATTGTTGTTACTGTATACAATGTTATCCTGGTTTTGTTCACTTTACTTTGCATCAGTTCATGTGAGGCCAGGTTTTTCTGAACTCATCCTACTTGTCATTTTTTATAGCACAATAATATTCCATTACAATCACATACCACAACTTATTTAACGATTCCCCAAATGATGGGCATCCCTTTGAGTTCCAATTCTCAGCTAACACAAAAACAGGTGCTATAAATATTTTGTACAAATAGGTCCTTTTCCCTTTCTTTCTGATGTCTTTGGAACACAGACCTAGCAATGGTATTGCTGGATCAAAGGCTATGCAGTTTTATAGCTAGACTACCTTCCTTCACATTTTTTTCACTGATGCCTTTGATATCCTTGATCTTGTGTTCTTTCATCAAATGGGTTTTGTTATTATTTTTTCTAGCTCTATAAAATACTTTTGGTCCCTTGATTGGTATGACACTGAATAAAATGATTAATTTAGGTAGAACTGCCATTTTTATTATATTGGTTTGGCCTACCTGGGAGCAATCAGTATTTTCCCAATTGTTTAGATATGACTTTATTTGTGTGAAAAGTATTTTGTAATTGTGTTCATACAGTTCCTGGTTTGTCCTGAGTATTTTATATTGTCTATAGTTAATTTAAGTCAAATTTCTCTTTCTATCTCTTGCTGCTGGATTTTGTTGATAATATATAGAAATGCTGATGATTTATGCGGGTTTATTTTATATCCTGCAACTTTACTAAAGTTGTTCATTATTTCAAGTAGTTTTTTAGTTGATTTTCTAAGGTTCTCTAAGTATATCATATCACCTGCAAAGAATGATAGTTTTGTTTCCTCATTGCCTATTCTAATTCCTTCACTTTCTTTTTCTTCTTTTATTGCTACAGCTAACATTTCTAGTAAAATATTGAGTAATAGAGGTGATAATTGGCATCCTTGCTTGGCCCCTGATTGTACTTCTAGTTTATCCCCATTACAGATAATGCTGGTCGATGGTTTTAGATAAATATTACTTAGCATTTTAAGGTAAGCTTTATTTATTGCTTACAAATTGCTTAAATAAGAATAATCACTCAAGTTCTCTATAATATCATGATTTCCTCCCTTATCTCAATGTAAAAGCTTTCCAAAGACATATATGAGTGCCACATATTTTACTTGAGAGAAGGAAAACAGATATACAAGTAGGGAAAAGCAGGTAAAGGGAGAAGGCAGGAGGATAGAAGGAGAAAAGAGAGTTTAATAAAGAATAATAATGAGAAGGTGAGGATAGAGCATAGAGAGTGACACAATTTTATTAAACAAAAAGATGATTTTTAGTACAATGGAGATGGTTTTATGGTATCATGATTAATTCTGTAGAAATCAGTCAAAACGTAGCCCTGTCATCACTCTCATAATTCTTCAACTTTTTGGTTTGCAGACTTCAAGTCACATATTCTCTGGGCTTCCTACTAGAATGGTAAGGGCAAGGGAATTTTCTGTGACACACTCTACTTTACCAATGGAAGAAGTATGTCTAAGATTCTCAAATTACTGCCTTTTCATCAACATAGTCCCTGAATGAAAAGCTTGCCTTCTTCCCACTTTATGCCACTAACATTCATACAATGCTTTAAAAATATTTTCTCCACAACAACTAGGTAGATAATACAAGTATTATTTTACTGATTACAGATGAGGTACAAAGAAGTCAAGTGGTATAATGAAAAAAAAATACTGGATCTGGTAAACATAGTACAAGTTGATGACTGTCACAGGAGTAGTAGGTAGCATGCTACTTTAAAACTCTAAACCAGTGTTCCTTCCACTATAACACATATTTCTTTTACATTTCAGAGTAAGGACATGTGTGAATGAGGAAAGCTACATTTTCAGAATTAATGTACTAACATGATAACCTACATATTAATGTCTAAAAGTTTAAAGAAGATACTTTGGACATACTGGAATAAAATATAACTGGTATAGTAGATTCTCAAGTGCCCCCAAGATGAAAGTCTACAAATGGTATTGAAATACCTAACGTTGGGGAAATTTATTCATCTTGAAAAGTGATGTAATCTTATTGTGGGATTTTTCTTTGAGAATATTACAGATTGGAGTTCCAAAATACCTTAGAGATTTTTAAAGGCTTGTGAAATTAGGCTTTAAAAAACAAATCAACCACTTTTCTCTCTATGCACAGATGCTTAGAATTAGATTAATTGCTAACAATAGTCTTTGGTAAGCCTGTGCCCTAAACAAAGAGTAGTCTTTTTCTTTCATACTTATAAAACTCAGATAACTGATTTTTCAGTGATATTTGATCTCTTTTATTTTATCTTCATTGATTTTGTCTATATACAATTTAAAAAAAATTTTATTTAACAAAAGCTCTGTTTTGTCTTTTATGATAACTTCTATCCTTACATTAAAAATTCTTCTCCTAATTACAATTGTGAAAGGCATCTTCACAATTGTGAACTGTCACCTCTAAGCCATGACGAGATGTGAAAGTAGTATTTTAATGGTAACTTGTTGTTCTTTTCTCCTATTGTGTTTTAGTGTTATTCAAATGGAATTCAAGCTAAAAAAAACATCTATTTGCACCGTTTTTCTATAATCCTATTCTCTGACATTAGATCTCTAAAGAAAAGGTTATGGATTTTCTACTATTCTAAAAAATAAAGGAAAATGGGCAAACAAAACAAATACAAACAAATGTCAAATGAAGCATCAAATAATTCAAGTTATATATTTACAGCCAATAGAAATTAAAATATCATAGCTAGACAATTAAAAACTCAGAATTTGGGTGTGACTGAAGTAGTTAAGTAAGCTAATTAATTAAGCTAAGTTAGGTGGCAAAATGACTCCACCTTTGGAAGGCATTTAGGCTTCGTTTGTAGCACTATCCTGTCACTGTCAAATAAAACAAGAAATCAATCACGACGGCATCACTTGGGACAAGAAATAATTTTGAGATAGTTTAATTTTGTGACAGTAATCATTATGCATATATAGACTAAGTGTAACCCTGAAGATATGAAACTGGTTTGAGCGGGTTTCACCACCTTCAGATAGTTCTGAAAGTTTAGTGCTGGATTTTGTGTCATCACTGTTTTCTTTTGTCTTAGTTTTTACAAATAGAAATTACCCAAGAAACATGTAAAAGTAATAGTTCTTAAGATCACATTTAATTTACTAGGAGATTATTACAAAAGCTTTTGGTGGGGGGAAAAGTCAAACATTTCAACAATAATTCAAGTCTATAATGAAAGAAGAACAGCTCCAATGAAGTGTAAAAGAAAAGTGCAGTAAAAAATGAAAAATACCAGCTAGAATTGATTAACTATTGATACAAAGCAGTCCAATTATCCTAAGGGAAAAAAAAAAAACACCAAAGACCTTTCAGGGGATCTAGTAGCCGGAGAGGCTATTATTTCCTATAAAATATATTTAAATGTCTTTAAGTTGGAAGAACATAAAAAAAATCAGTCTAAAACACACAAACAAACAAGCCTGCAGCTAACCCAAGGATTCTTAAACTGGAAGAATATAAACTTAAAAAAGTAATGTGAGTGAGCCTGTGCACATCTTATCATCTTTACTAGATGATAAAATGTCCACCCTAAGCAATATTTAAGGATATTTTTTAAATTCTGGAAGTTTTGTCCCCAGTGAAGAAGGGAATTAAATATATTGATATAATGAAAAGCAGAATTGTTCTGGAATTGCAGAAATTCCCAAATGGAGCCAGAAACCTGCAAAACAATTTGCACTATGCAATATTTCATCTAAGACTGAGAAATTTATTCAAGACACAGAGAAAAATACCTTTAATGGTCTAGAAACTCATTTTAAGTCTTACTAAAAGCCTATATAATCAAAGCTAGATTATCTGATGTGATCAAAGTGTGGCTTCATGAGAGAGAATTAAAAAAATGTGTCAAAACTTGTGAATTCAATGTAAAATCACATAAAAACAGCTATTGCATTAAGCCACCAAACCAAGATACCAAGGCCTAGCCAGTTTAGTTATATTGCCATCTACATTATCCTAAAATGGGTAAGAAGGAGAAAAATCATGCTTCTTATACCTCACTGCCACTTTAAGGCCCACCTTCCCTCCTGAACCTCTCCTTCTTTGAAGTTCACTCCATAAAGATATGTTACTCTATCCAGATCCTGGTGGATATTTATTACCAGCATCTGAAATATTTCTCTATGCTTTTTCAAAGATTTTAAAAACTGTCCACATGTCATATATAGTACAAAACCTTTGACATATTACTGATTTGTATAAATTATCTTCCTTGTGTCCCTTCTTTACAACATACAATTTCATTTTTCACAGAAACTAGCATTAGCAGGGAGTTTCACTGTCTCTTTCTCTACAGTTTTTTTTTCTAAAGCCCAAAATACTGACATTATCATCTTGCAATTATTAATACTCTGCTTTTTTTTTTTTAACCTAAAATATTTCTTGGCTTACCTGCCGCATGTAACAAGCTAGCTTCTAATCTATGAGGAATTCTTGGAGGAAGTTTCATTGATGCCCGAATCTGGTAAAAACTGAAGCAAAAGAGAAAAATAATTTTGATACATAATTTTAAAAATAATACACTAATTCTTTCATCCTAATCTTTCCCTCACAACAGGCTAATCATTCCTATAGCTTATGACAAATAGAGAAAATCTATTAAAAAATTAAAGACAAAAAGTAAAGCATCAGAATTATCTGTGCTTTCACATATTCTCATATATGATATATAATAAGTAATCATTTATTTCAGGAGGAAATATTTGTTAAAAAGTATTACTACAGGTCATCTTAATGAAAAAGCAGATGCACAGATTAGAAGTCACCACTGACTATGGCCCACTATGTTCTACTGATTTGTTGTATAATTTGTCATTTAATCTGTTTCTTAAAATCTTGCTTCCACAGAATATTACATCCCAATATTAGTTTTGAGCCAATCCAGAAGTAATTTGGTCTGACCCTTTTATTTTATAAATGAGGAAAGTGAGGCCCTGAGGTGATTGACTTACCCAACATCACAAAGCTAGTGAGTGTTGGAGCTAGGACTCTAATTTATTAGACCTGAATATTTTTTCTACCATTCTACAGCTTTAAATATTAAGTATTTACAAACAATATGAAGATTAAAATAAATAAATGTAAGGATTATTATTATTATTATTATTACAAGGAGTCTATAGTATAGGCTTTGTGGAAGAGGTGTGGGGGAGAAAAGAAAAAGGAACAATAAACAGATGGGACAGTTGATAGGCAGGTTATCTTGATCCGCCGCAAAACTTAAACTCTGCTCTTAGCTGGAACTAAATGGAACTGAGGTGATCATCAAGTTGTTGGATAAACTTTGGGGTCCAAAGTCAGGAAAAAGGTCCAAAACAAGTATGGACTACTGGATGACAGAGACTTGGAAAAGTTCAAGAAGAGAAGAGAAGAGGTAGGAAAACCAAAAGTTCAAGTGTTTTCTGAATTATGTTTGTTGTATGCTTGTTCAACTGTTCAAATTGCAAACCAAATATATAAAGCATGACCATATCCACTTACAGAAGAATGGCATAAATGCTCATTTATACTAAGTCTGGCAAAAGAATTTCCAAATCTCTATTTTAAAACATTTTCCCACTTTTAAACTTGGAGATTTAAAAAGAAACACAAATTTGATTAAAATGTGACAAGATTTGATAATTTTTTTTTAGCAGTTTGGTGAAAACTATGGATCCCCTCTCAGAATTAAGCAAATGCTAAATTTCAGTTAGAGGTTGTTGAAAATAAAATGGTAATTTTTTTTTCCTATCCAAATTTAACAACTCCTCCTGAAATGAGCCATTCCCCCTTAACAGCTCCCAAGTTAACCCCTAGTGTAGGCCAAATATATTTTTACTTTTATTTATTTTTTTGGCAATTGGGGTTAAGTGACTTGTCCAGGGTCACACAGCTAGTAAGTGTCCAGTGTTTGGTCTGAGGCCGCATTTGAACTCAGGTCCTTATGACTTCAAGGCCAGTGCTCTACTCACTGCGCCACCTAGCTGCCCCTTTATTTTTCTTTATGACTAAAAAGGAACCTCCCTTAAATTGATAATTTATATAATTAGACCACTCATTCTAAATACCTTATCTATAAATCTGTACTTTTAGAATGACATTTAGCAAGGCAGATAATACTACCTAATCAAGAAGAAATAGATCTCTTATTACTGCCAATAGAGTCTAACAAACTTTTCCAATTAACCTCAGTGCTAGACAACTTTCTAGAACCATAAATTGCAGAGATGGTACCAATTTGCATTGGTAGTGGGAGTTTTTCACTTGGGAGTTTCCTGTATCAATGAAAAAACAAGTCTAGTCCCTATCACTAACCTTTTTCAATCAAAGCATGGATTGAATATCATGATGATTTTGGAATTAGCACAAAAAGAAACTAGCATTACAGTACTATATAGCTAATCTGTGATTTGCATTTCCATATTATGTTTTTTATAATCTAACAAACCTAACATTTACTAAAATGACTACTATGTACAAGGAGCAGTGCTAGGTACTAAAGATATAAGTATAAAATGAAATATCTCCTTCCTTCAAGCAGCTTTCATCCTACTGGGGAAGTTATTGTTTTTTTGAGTCCCTACTACTTTTGGTATACAAAGAAAAGCCATATTTATCTTACAATTTTTAACAATTTTTGCCCTTATAAAAATATAGAATAAAACAACTTCTAGACTATTTGACCTGAGTTATTTAAAAAATTTCTCTGTGGAAAAAGATATTTTTAAAAAACTAAGTTACAAATTTCCCAGTCATGATATATTCATTGGATATTATTACTTGGCAAGTTAGAGTAACTTAAATGTTTTTATTTCATTTACTAACTGTGTTACATCAAAAAATTGCTTCCTAACATAAATTTTTTTCTATAAGTTATTATTGTAAACTTCTATTTATGTAATACACTTAAATGTTCTTCACAATTCTAAAAAGTAGGAATTCATTTTAAATTAAAAGATTTAAAATTATGTAAGCAATTGCTTCTTTACCACAGTCTATGAAAGACTAAATAAGAAAGTATAATGGTTTTCCAAACATGAATTCATTTTTCTGGATGGGTCTTTTCTAAGCAATTGTCATATATAATCACCATAAATGAAAAGTATTCACTAAGCACTTAACATTTAAAATTATTGCATAGAGGTTCTGGGTCATGTGAGCAACAAAATGGCAAACTAGATATTTTCTCTGATCCTCACAATCTCTCAAACTTCTCCAAAACATTAATTATATGCCAAAGATAAAGGAACTTCAGTTCCTTTCTCCCCTTGGTCTAGGACATCCAGAATACAAAAGAAGATTAAAAAAAATCTGAAACCCAGGTATTCATGCTCACTATCTCTAAGATCACTTGGCAGCCTTACCCTGCCTCCCATGCTACTAGCAGACCTAAGGACATAACAAATGCTTACTTCAAAACCCCCTGCACCCCATTTTCCCCACTCATTCCTTCTAATGCTGTGAAGACTCAGGCTCCAGGCTATGGAAATCTGCTCAGATTACAGGCCTTCAGGAGCAAAAGCCTCCTAGGGGCTGCAAAACAGAAGCACCAGTGCTGCCAAGCTCTAAAATGTAGTTGGTCTAGAGACATGAGGAATATAGGGATAGAACAGGTCATCTGGAAAGAACACCATAGGTCTTGGATGGGCCTTCCACCAAACCTGAGGGAAACAGCACAGCACCCATCTGGGGCCAGTTCTGACCACCCAAAAATCAGGGGTGGGGGGAAGCTCTAGGCTGGTGATCCACAAATTGCCTCAGATGCTTGAGGTCTAGCTCCCAAGGAAACCATAACCAGAGAGAAGAGAGTCCAGAAGTCAGTGATAAGGAAAATAAGGTAAAAAAGACTAAACGTACCAAAGATTTTAGAAAGAAGAAAACTCAAAGACCTTGAACATAAACAGATAAATCAAAACAAAAAACATTAACAGAAGGAAATACAGTTTCTAGATCTAGTAAACAAGTTCTGATATCTATGAATACTGGACATTTATGAAAAAATATTGCAAAATAAAGGAAAATGATTCAACACCTGATGAGACAGAGGACCCCTTTGGAATTTGAGACCATGGAATTACATATAATACACTATTCCCGAGTGGTTTAAAAGAGAAATAAGAATTATGAGAGCTGAATTTCTGTCCTGCACAGCAAAAATAGTGAGCAGAATAGAAAAATTCCAATCTGCAATTGCACGCCTCACCAAAGGAATAAAAAAGTGAACAGACTGGGAATGCAAACATACAGAAGTGAAGAACAACCTAGAAGAGAAGCAAAAAACCAATAAAATTAAAAGAAAATATACTCACTATGCAAGCAAAATATACTGAACTCAAAAGATGTGCAAAGACAACCTAAGGATCATAGGTATCCCAGAAGGACATGACAGAACAAAAAAATCTTAACAATGCAATGAAGGAAATAAAAGAAGAAAACTGCCCAAAACTTCTGAACACAGAAAATGAAATCCCAATTGAAACAATTCACAGATCATTTCCAGAAAACAGAAACAAAACAAAACTAAGGTTGCAAATGCCAAGACACAAAGTGGTTAAATTTAACAATTCAATTCAGAGACAATAAGTTCTGCAAACATTAGGAGAAAGACCTTCAAACACAAAGGAAAAGATATTTGAATAACACAAGACAATTCTGTATCTTTCAGAAAAAAGAGGAGGAAATAGAATAACTGTTCAGAAGAGCACAGAAGCTCAGGATGCAATCCAGGGCAACCTAACCTAGGAAATGTGAGGAGGTCCTGGAGAAAGTATAGAAAGAGAAGACAAAGGACACAGCCTTTGAGTTTAACCTAAGATGGGGGAGGTATATGATATGGATGATGATTTAGCAAAGGAGAACAAGAAGTTAGATAGGTAGGAGAGATTCAGAGTCAGGAAAATCCAGGGAGGAAAGAGTATCAGTGTCAAACATTGCAGAGAGGTCAAGAAAGAGAACTAAGAAAAAAATCTATCACATCTGAGATCATTGGTAACTTTGGAGAAAATAGTTTCATTTGAATGATGAAGCTGAGAAATTCCAAAGACATAAGGAGTGAGAGGTGACCAAGATGAGGCAGGGAATGCAGAAAGCTTATTTTTAGAAGTTTACCTGAGAATAGGAGACAACATATAGCATGAAACTCTAAGAGCATGGCAGAAACTAGTGAAATTTCTTAAAAGTTGGAGTACATTTGGGTGTATCTGAAGATAAGAGGGAAAGAGTTGATAGATAAGAAGAAGGTTAGAGATGGAAGTTATGACTGAGGCGGTGATTTACTGAAAATTGGAAGATGGTGAGATGAAGGGCAAATTTGGGGGGCGGTACACCTTGGTAGGAAGGATCACCTCATTAGAGATTGAAAGAAAGGAAAAGAAAGTGGGGAATGATCACAAAAGGTTTTAAGATGACAAGAGTTAGGGTCAGCTAGGTGGCACAGTAGATAGAGCACTGGCCCTGGAGTCAGGAGGACCTGAGTTCAAATCTGGCCTCAGAC